TAGTAGCTGTTATAAATTTTGTAGGGGGGCGCTATGGAGCCATTTTGAGACACATTCACAAGTCCCATAAAATAGAATATTTTTCACCAGTTCTCATGTGTGTGCAAAGTTTTTGAGTATGTTTAGACCCTCGAAAATGTGATTGTTCTGAGCAAGGAATAATACTTCCTTGGATTCAGAATCAGAAGCTTTTTTTTATTGCCGAGTGAGCTTGCACACACTAGGAATTTGCCGTGGTGAATGAGACTGATGCACAACAATAACAAGACAAGAATAAATATAGAAATCAAAAGTGTAAAAGTATTACGTAATAAAAAAAAGTACTATAAGAAGAGAAATAAGCCAAATTATAAATTAGGAAAGAGAATTGAATTACAATACAATATTGCAACTGAAGTTGAGGAATTGCACATGTAATGGTAATGCACAGAGGAGTGCAACAGAAGTCTTTAGTGATTTACTGACTGTTCATGAGGGATGTGGCCTGAGGGAAGAAGCTGCTCCGGTGCCGGGATGTTCTGGTGCTTAAAGACCTGAAGCGACGGCCGGAGGGCAGCAGGTCAAAGAGGTGATGACCTGGGTGGAAGGGGATCATTCTGCGTGGAGTCTGCATGTTCTCCCCGTGCAGCGTGGGTTCTCTGTGGGTTCTCCAGCTTCCTCCCAAAAACATGCTGAGGTTAATTGGTGATTCTAAATTGTCCGTAGGTGTGAATGTGAGTGTGCTTGGTTGTCTGTCTCTAAGTGTAGCCCTGTGATAGACTGGTTACCTGTCCAGGTGAACCTGCCTTCACCCTAAGTCAGCTGGGATAGAGTCCAGCTCCCCCGCAAACCTAGTGAGGATTAAGCAGCGTATGGATGGATGGATAAAAACAGTAGTTTAAAACAATGGTATCTAATTGTGCATTATGTCCTTATACACTGAAGAAACCTCGTGTCGTGTTCTTGCTGTGGAATCCAGGATGACGGAGTCTAAGTTTGAAATAAAAGCTTCATGGTTTGAACTGAGCATTTTATTGCAGCAAATGTCCAGTCAGAATGGAACATTATTCAGTGTAAATAAAATACATAGTTTCTGTTTTACGTTAACAAATACAGAAAACCAGCTTAATGAATTTATACATAAATAAATAAAGAGAGCACAAATAAATAAATACAGTGTTGTCTAAAGTGTCATGAGGAGAGGTTACAGAATAGCTTTATATCTGCAAATGTTTCCACCCATTTCCTGGCAAAGTAAATGATCTGGAGGCCAGTTTCTTTCAGAGTGTAGATGTCTGTGCTTGTTATTTGTCTGTGGCATTGTTTTACGGCAGCAGCTTGAACAGCCTTTCTGAACTGATTGTGAAACGCCGTAGTGTTGCCAATGAGGTAGTCTCGGTGCTTCACCTTCAGCCTCATGGTGATGTTCGGTAGGTGGTTTGTGAGGTAGTCGGTGATGGCGCAGACCGAGTCCTGGATCTCCTCCTCCGTGGTGTTTCCCACCGGAATTGTTATTCCCTCAAGTGGGTTTAAACTGCTCAAGTCGTAATCCCCCCTAAAAACATTATTGACCTAAAGAGGAAGTGAGAGCAGTTATCACAAAGGCAGTGATGGAGCTCTGAGGATGTCAGTTGTCATTAATTTACAGTCACATTAACAAAGTCCCTCCATTTACAGTGAGGAGGTAACATGACTTTATATTATGATATTTTACATCATATGAAATCTGAAAAAGTTGTGAGAGCAGAGCTAAGTTTGTCAGTGTCTGAGTAGCTTTCACTCCTCTGTATATTTCATAAACCTAAAGCGTGATATGTTTACTCACATAGTCATTTTCCGCCTGCTTTAGATTACACAAAGGCAGCTCCAATCTCTCCATCTTCTTCCAGTGAACTGGTATGGAGGCCATAAAGGAGATGTGCATCATGGCAATGAGGGACAGCAGGAGCTCTACAAGTAGGTATTCAGGAAAAAATACAATGATGTCATCTGCATTGCAGCTCAACCAAAAGCTTACTTAAGTCCAACTGGAATCCACATCGCAGTGAAAACTCAAGATTGTACTGAGAGAATGATAGACTTGGACAGAATGTTGCTTCAAAGCTCATTTCAGACTCTCAGCAGCGCATCCTCAGACTTTTCACTCCTCAGTAGTCAGACAGCGATCATAACAACACAACGAAAGTCACAATACAATTACCGAAACGTGACTCTTAATCACTGAGATCCCAGAGTGACTTTGACAAGTTTGTCACTTTCTTACTCTTTGCAGGAAAAAAACAGTCCTAAATGACTTAACTACCACATAGAAACAGCTTACCTTTACCAGGATGCATGGTGTGATTTGTTCGTCGTTGAGCTAATGGCCCTAAAGTGCCACACGCCGTGCTTATATATCGAAACATGGGATTTTTTTGTTGCATGCCATTAGTAAGAAGATGACGCCTTTGTGGCATTATCGTCTGAAAAAATCTTGCTCTGAACCTTTATCTGTTTTGCAATTGTAGGGCACCGTTCCCACAGTGGTTGAATGTGCGGAGGATATGCAAACAGCCACAGAGCTATCCAGGACATCTGATGTCTGCTGGTTGAATGGAAAAAAAGAGTCTGCGAAGCTTTACCAGTTGAATTTTAAACCCTGGCAACCTGTTAGACAGATTACACAGATATTCTAGAGGTTGTTGTTACGATGGCATCAAACAATACGAAAACAAAACTCATGTCATATCTCACGGAACTTTGTTCTTTCTGAACTGCGCTGCTTCTTTTTTTTTTTTTTTTCTTGTTCAAACGCATGAAAGAGTTTAATCACTTTTCAAAAGACAGACAAAGTAGATAGAAGTCGTAGCCCAGTTGCTTATCCTGCTTACTAAGAGAAAAGTTATGTGACTCTGAGGAAATTACATTTTTAGGGCGCCGGCCTCATCGAATCAAACTGTATTGTTTTTAGATTAAAACACCAAGCTTGCTTTCCACACTGATTCCTTTTCCCGAACATTTGAGATAGTATTAACCCAAATCTGGTCTTGTGTCATATTCAAAATATAGTTAATAATGAGTATCCTGGAAACATGAGTCATCAAATAAACTATGCAGCTTCTCCACCTCAATCTGTATGCTTTTACTAACACAGGATGTGAGAGCCTGGAAAGTTTTTGACCTGCGTAAAAGTGTCATTATTAAATGATAAGCAGCGATAACAGTGTACGGGTGTGTCAGTTCTTCAAGATTTCCATATATTGATTCCTTTCCTCTTGTCTGCGGGTTAAAAAAAAATTGTCGACGTACTCATTCAATCAGTCCTCATAATGTAACAAAGAAATAATGATATTCACAATATGTTATTCTCAACCTTCTTATTTGACTTCTGTTAGCATGGTTTGAGGAATGATAGATGTTGGTGTATTGGTCAGCCCACCACAGACTGAAATAGCTCAACAACGGTTGATATTCACGGTCTGCAGAGTATGAATTCTCCTGTCTTCATCACAAGGCTGATATTTCAAGATTCAAGAGTTTTATTTGTCACATGCTCGTGAGGTACCGGTTAAGCAGAGTGACTGTTCGTGTTGTTGCTGCTAGCGATGAGGTGCTATTTGGATTAACCCTCCTGAGGTCAAGGTTCACATGATATATTCGATGTTTTAGGCAAAATGTCTCAACAAATTTTTAGTAGATGGCATTGTGCGCATTGTGGTTATCCCCTGATTCTTCATAGTGCCACCACAAGTTCATTTTATCCAGTGCTGTTGTTTGTGTCTCTTTGTATTCACTTGGTAGCCGTTACTGTAGCTTCTGTAATCATTTATTAATTGAGACTGAACTGAGGCATTAGCTCCGCTGCATACCATGTTCATCTACAGTTTATTTAGCAAACTGGAACAACATTAGTCCTCTTTTGATTGTATGATTGTATTTGTTTTATTGATTTATTAGTAACAACATCCACACACTCTGACTTTCAGTTTTGTGTAATTTGTGTGTTGATTATGCTACTAAGCAATACATACCTTTGCTAAACCAAAAGCGACTGACTTTATGATGTTTCCCCGTACACTAGGAGAGCTGGGACACCAAGCCATCAGCCTTAAGCTGTACGGATAATGTTCCTAAATAATGTCACATTGAGCTAATCGTATGGATTTATTACGTTTTGCTGAAATATTGATGTCTTTCTCTGTTATATCTGGTTAATCAGATGTCATAGAGTCACAGGGTTGAAGGTGTTGAACTGCAGTAGATTTAAGGTGAAAACATTTTGAATTGGATATAGATTTGCTGGGCTGCAAGGTGGCTCAGTGGTTAGCTAGAAGATCCCAGTTAGGGCGGCCGGGATCTTTGTGCGTGGAGTTTGCATGTTCTCCCCGTGCAGTGTGGGTTCTCTCCGGGTTCTCCGGCTTCCTCTCACACAGTCCAAAAACATGTTGAGGTTAATTGGTGATTCTAAATTGTCTGAAGGTGTGAATGTGAGTGTGCTTGGTTGTCTGTCTCTAAGTGTAGCCCTGTGATAGACTGGTGACCTGTCCAGAGTGTCCTAAGTCAGCTGGGATAGACTCCAGCCCCTCTGCGACCCTACTGAGGATTAAGTGGTGTATAGATAGTGGATGGATGGATGGATGGATGGATGGATGGATGGATGGATGGATGGATATAGATTTGGTGCCATTATGTACTGAAGCCAGGTACTTTTTTTAAAAGAGACTTTCTCCGAATCTGATATCTCCTCTGTCTTTTTTTCATTTAATCCTTCGATTTATAATTGTTACAAGCAGTTTAACACTTGGTTTAATTCACCCTGCTGAAGTTTAAAACTGCTTCACAGAAGTCTACATGTGATGCAGGGATCCTGCATGGAGGCACAGCTGTTGCCAGGCAACCAACAAACAAACACCAGAGGCCTCTTCACTGACAGACAGACCAAAGACGAGCTGACCATGCATGCATTGACAGAACATACAGTAGTTGCAGTGTTTCTCTGTAAATAAATCTACTGTGGGGGATAAAGTCAAACAGTAGCTGTCATGAGTTCAAACACACTTTCTGCCGTTTTAGAGAAGAAGATTCGCCGCCTGTGTCTCAGTGACTTTCCCTGTGGAAATGGCAGCTGGGTGAGTTATTTCAACTGTAAATTGCTTACAGTGTTTTCTAGATTATCTTCAAAAAATCACAATGCCAAGGTAGTGGCTCAAAGCTCTCAAATTACTACAGTAGCTTGTTTTTTTTGCATGCATTACTTAACAAAAGGTTAAAAGCATAAAATACAAAAATAAAGTTGCCCTTTTAAAAACTGGATGGAGTTGGCGGCTGAAAATGACCCTTTGTGCCACTCTGACTCATTTACAGTCATTTTTCTGTTGATCAGTAAGCACTGTCCCTGTCAAATACATGAATAAATTAAATAAGCCGTTCTGTTCCCAGAGAAAAACAGAAGGCAGTGCAGCGGGAGCAGATACAGAGCCGACAGATTCCCTCCTGGATCTGCTGAGCTGCTATCGTTCTCCGTGGTGGCGCGATGATTCATGGAGCCCTCAAGCTTCGGCCCTGAGAAAGCTGGCTGTGCTTACACCTCGACACCTACGCACAAACTTCATTTACAATTACTTTACTACACTTCGTATTGTGGACAAGGAAGTGAGTATACTGCATTTTTAAATATGATTCCAGCCACAGGATTCGGAGGATTTTGCAAAAACTGATAAAACCTGGGGCTGCAAGGTGGCGCAGTTGGTTCGCACTGTCGTCTCGCAGCTAGAAGCTTCCTCCCACACAGTCCAAAAACATGCTGAGGTTAATTGGTGATTCTAAATTGTCCGTAGGTGTGAATGTGAGTGTGCTTGGTTGTCTGTCTCTAAGTGTAGCCCTGTGATAGACTGGTGACCTGTCCAGGGTGTCCCCTGCCTTCGCCCTAAGTCGGCTGGGATGGGCTCCAGCCCCCCCGTGACCCTAGTGAGGATTAAGCGGTGTATAGATAATGGATGGATGGATGGATGATAAAACCTGAACGCCTGTTTAGTTACATTCTTCTAATTACTTTGTCAAAAAAAAAGCAAAACAAAAAAACCCCCACAATATTACCTGAAATAATTACAGCATCCATAAAACCACAATCTGATGTATAGTGAAACGGAGACCATCTGAGTGCAGTGAATGTGTCGAGTGATTCTAGTATGAAGACCCCAGAGGAGTCATTGGTGTCTCGTGGCTTCACTCACTCGTCTCTTCTTGCTCTCAGTCTTTAAGGGTCGGTGTGCTCTAGGCAGATTTACACTGTTGCTGTATAAAAACATTTCTTACGATGCATTTAAATGTACTAAAAGGAATATTCAGTGAGTTGGAAAGCTTCTTGCATCCGCCCCCTGACATATGTTTTTCAATAATCTTTTCACAGATTAAGCGTTCCTTTGTCTTCATGGTGTTGTTCTATCTAATAGTAGTGACTCACCTTCTAGATGCAGGTGTCTTTATACTACAATCACCTGAGACACTTTCACTGCTTTCAGATGAGCTCCAATTTACTAATCATGTAACTTGTAGCACCAACTGGCTGCACTTGTGTTGAGTTAAATGAGTAATTGTGAAGAGGGTGAACGATTTCAGCACCAGAAAACTGGGTTAGGGTAAAAAAAAAAAAAAAAAACACAAAAACTTTAAGAGTATCAAGTCGAGGAGAAAACAGTAATCCTAATTTGCAGCCCAGGTAATGACTATAAGAAAGGTCAAAGGTCAAAACCCTTGCTGAGACCATTGGGTTAATTCACCTCTCTTTGTTTGTGGCGATTTTAGCACAACCCCTCGTATCAAAGCTAAAAACTTTAATACTTGACACTCATTGGGCTGAATCACTGCTTTGCTTTCATATAGTGTTTTTGACCACAGGATAGTTCAAATTCCCAGGACAAATAGCATGTAGCCACTCAGTCCCCATGTCTCCTTTTAGTAACGCCTACATAGAAACTTGCTCGTTTCTAAAAACTTCCTTCTGCTCGATGTTTTGTCTGCGTTGTGTTCAGGTGTCAATAATTGACGACGGCCTGCTGAAGTTCTCAAAGCTGGAGGAACTGGTGCTGAGTGCCAACAAAATCTCCGAAGTCCCTGCAGAGAACCTTCCCAGCAACCTGACGGCAAGTCACAGTCCTGCACCAGCTTAATGTTGTGGTTCTCTGCCGCTTATCAGATAACATTGTGTTTCAGTAGATGCCACAGAAACACAGCCATCAACATGCGGTGACTCACATTTATTCATAAAGAGCAAGAAAATATCACATTTCCTCCTTTTCTCTCAGATGCGGTGACATAGCTGGTTGACACAAGTGCTGTTGTAATGACGACAATAATGTAATGACAAATACGTTTCTTTCACAGATTCTGGAGCTACGTGCAAACCGGTTGTCTTCTTTAAACGGTCTCACCGGCCGTCCGCCGCCTCGCCTACAGTACCTCGGCCTCAGCCGCAACAGTCTGGGCTCGCATGAAGACGTTTCTCATCTCACAGGAAGACACTGGTTAGCTCCGACACTCAAGGTTTTTGTAGACATAAACCAAAACCAGGTCAAATGACAATTCAGGGGGCCGCTGTGTGGTTTTTAAAGTGACTGTAAGGTGATGTTGTAAGACGATGACGCCGTGCCAGGATGTTTTCACTGTAGTTTCTTTCTGATCTGTGACACTTGTGATTTCACACTTGTACTAGTTTGATGTCAGGTTGTCAGTAGGTTACAGTGACAGAGGCAACACCGGTGAGCGTGATGTCACAGTCGTCTGAAAATCTTTTGATCTCGCTGGTTTCAGTGTGAGCAAGGGGATACACAAAATTACACCCCAGCTTTCATCTTATCTGCTGATATCCAAATTTGAGAGGCCCTTTTAGGTTTATACTTAAACTTCCGTTCTTTGTCGTCAGTTAAACAGAACTTAGAGCCGCTACGTTTTCATATGAACCACAGTTTAGTCATCATAGGGGGCACAACACACCCTCCAAATACAGTTGTATGATGTCCTGGAGGGAACATCAAATACCAACATCATGTACAGAAATGTTGGCACATTAAAAAATATTTTTAAATTTATAAAAATTGCACACAAAAAAAAAGTGACTGGCCAATTGAAAAACTTAAACATGGGGAACTATTTTTATTAGACATTTTGAGGGGTGGATGGGCTCTTTAGTTTATTACGTTTGGACTAAACACACTCTATTTGCAGTTTATTTGTACAAAAGTGTCACTATGTAAATACAGTATGTACACATTTATAAACGACAGAATGGATTGGCTAAGCGAGGCTACTGGCTGCAGCACCAACAGTCGGCCTTTCAGAGCCAGGAGTTGTCTAAAAATGACCCACTAGGGGATGAAACCTGATTTTGAACAGTGTATTTTAATACAAAATTTGCATATAATTCATTTTAAGTTGTACATAATAGATGATAATTCACATGTATTCATTTTTATTTTGTTATTGTTATCTGTGTTTTTTTTGTCAATCATAAATCTAACAATTAATGAGCCAGAGGTAATAAATTGTAACTCCCACTGACTCTCTCTGACCTCAGGCCACAGCTGGTGTGTCTGGACCTCAGTGACTGTGACTTCCAGGACCAGCAGGCCCTGCTGAAGGCCTTGAGCACCCTCCCCTGCCTCAAGACACTGGTGCTGGAGGGAAACCCCTTCACCCTGACGCCCTCCTATCCGGGCTTCACTGTGGACCGTCTCCCAGGACTCTCCTGTCTGGACGCCTCATGGATCTCCCCCGGGGACAGACATCGTTTTAGAGGCTTGGCCAAGATGAGCGGTGAGATGTGCTGTCAAGTAGAATGTCTGATTCCTGTGACTGTGGCCACGCGTTTGTTTCAGTTTTCTATAAGAAGTTATGAAGCTTCACCTGGATCATGAGTGTGCTGACAGTTTATAATATCAGGATGATTTTATTTTGCACAGAGCTGACAGTAGACGTGGCATCAGCCACAGTAAGTGTGGGAAGGATGAGAGGAATCCCAGACCCGCTGATGAGTGTGGAGGAAAACGCTCCTGACTTCCCTGTTGTCTCCTTCAGCTACTTCATCACATACGAGTTCCTTAGTCATGAAGCACCTGTTAACTTGGTGAAGTATCCTTCTTACACATTTACAAAATTCATTTCCTTTACATGCAAAAATGTTTTTCTTTCTTTTTTCTTTTTCTTTTTTTTCTACATTTTTTGCAAGACCATACTCACATGCTCATACGTTCATTTTGAAAGTCATTCATTGCTGTGATTGCTCTTCTTGTCTTTACTGGCTACATAGACATTCCTTTCTAAAATAAGTTAAAGCATTTTCAGTATAAAATTCTTTCTTCCTTTTTGGTCACATAATCTGCATCTCCGTAACCTGGAAACTGAAGAAACAAGACGGGGAATTTTGTTTGAAAAAAAAAAAAGACTTTTATAATCTGTTGGAAATTATGCACCTGATCTGACAAACATCAATATCTGAGGCCTCATCTTAGTTTCAGCTGAATGTACAAAGTTTTTTTGTTGTTGCTGTTTACCACAGAATGAGGACTGTGAATCATGCTGCCTTTACTTAGTGACATATAAGGAAAGGATTTGTATGCAGCCAGTATGGAGAAGAATCAAAGATGACAGCAACCCATAGCTCCTTCAGTGTATATATATGGGTATGTGCATTTAATCATGTTAAGATGTAACTCAAGACACTGATGCCACAAAATCAAGCAAAAGTTGTCCAAAAACAGAGAAAATCTACATAAACATATTAAATCTGTAACACTTAACTGTATTTGTTCAGCGTGCACATTTGCCTTGAATGCGTGGTTTTGCAACATTTTCTTAAAGGGAACATTAAAACATTAGATAACTGATGAACTGCACAGACACTGACGTATTTCTGCTATCTTTAATTCCATTTTTGTGCTGTTGTTCACAGAAACTTGACAGTGAGGCTAAATGTGACACAGCGTCTGCAACACGTGGGACAGAAGATGACTCATGTGATACTGACCTACTATCAAGCAACAACTATGAAAGAGACACATTCAGACCAGACACTGGAGTCTTAGTGGTTAACTCTGAAGAGGCCTGCTCTGATGCTGCACATGGTATTATCTCGTATAGTATCTATGTTGACCTCCACAACTGCGCAACAAGCACAAACACTGATAGAGGCTGCATTACATTAGTGGAGGAGTATAAGGGAGTGTGGAAGTAATATGAGTGTTTGTCTTTGGGATTATTTACTTGGTGATATGTTTTGTACAGCTGGGATTAACCGTTTCTTATCAGTTATGTGGAATTTACACAAATGGCTTCAGAGAAACATACAGTCAGAACAGCCAGTGGAGAGTTGAACACATCCTGAAACTGGATGACTAGACTGATGGTTTATCAGCCATTATCACTTTCAAGTAATTATGCGTCTATGATTTACCAGAAGGCATTTTTAAGTGCGTGCGTGTGCGTTTATTTTTGCACACCTGTGTGACACCCGTCACTGTTTTTGTTTTTCTGCAGTGTCAAGACACAGCACACCAAAGCTGACGTGGTCAGAGTGCATCGACTTCAGTGATGCACAAACGTACGTTGTTAGTTCTCTGGGAGACTTGAAGAAATTCCTCAATCAAGGACTTTTTCTCAGGCTTGAGGAGGAAAAGGTAGAAGAAACAAGGTCTGAGGGTGGAGATACATGTTTGAATGTAAAATGTGGTAGGACTAATACTCTGGTGTTTGACACCTAAGGTCCTGTCGTGGCCTGCAGCCCCTGAAGACGCCACGGTGGCCAAATCTAGTCTGACTGTGAAAGAGAAGAAAGGCAGGAAGGGGAAAGAAGTGAGTTTATCGTGAATCATGTATCAATGCAGTACGACTGATACATTTCACTGTCACACTGCAAAAAACTGCTGCTACTGCTTTACTGTGAAAATGAATAAATGTGTACGGATGTGTGTGTGTGTGCAGGTGTGTATTGTGTGTGTTTGTGTATTTATATATACAGTTGTGACTCGATAGTTCGACACTAAATGTAAAACTTTCTTTTATGTCAGATAGCGAGGCTGTCGGATTGTCAAGACGGAGGTCGAGATACAAGGAGGGCTTGATGCTTGAAGGCTCATTTGTTGTTAATATTTACTGTTTATAGTTGTTATAATAACTAGTAGGGCTGGACCGAATAGCACTTTCTGGTCTCTGGATATTCAGGTCCAATTAATGATGAATATCCGAATATTTGGTGCGGAGCTGGAATCCGAGGCTGTCGGTATGTTAAGGCTATTTTTTATGGGATCCGTTCGTTTTTCATAAAAACCTGTCGGATAGCAAGGTTTTCAGATTGTTCAGGGTCGGATTATCGAGTCACGACTGTATTTATACAGTTTCTATTTTTACATGTACATATTGTGATTGGGGCTGCAGGGTGGTGCAGTTGG